CTGAGCCACCGTTTTTCAGGAAAGCAGATAAAGAATGGTCCATCAGCAGATAAAGAAACACTAGACTGTAATACTTATCTGATTAACCTTTTCACAAACCTCTTACCTACCCTTACCTTCTCCCTACAGAAAAGTCAGCTTGAGATGAGATGTTAAGATGGTTTTTTGAGGATGCATAACCTGGTGTCTTCTCAGACCGCTGGCCTCTGAATAAAGCGCCCATAAAGATTCAATCCCTGTCGCTACTGATTCGTTCCAGTGGTGACAGGCAGCACCAACACCGACGTTTTCTTTTCCGGTGTCAGTTTTCTCTTTAAATGAACATCACTGTATGTTGGGGGGGTCATATACGCTTACAGGCCTTCCACATAAAAGCACGTGTTCTGCTTCACCTCTAGCTGGGTGTATTTATTCGGTTCTGATGCTAAACACCTGGATTTAGCACCTCACTCCACAGGTTTAAGGGCTTGGTCCCTGTGACAATGGTTTTTGTCCCAATTCCTGGCTCAAGAGCTTCTAAAACCCATGGAATTCCCTGAGTGTTAGAGCTGACAGTGTTTTTTTGTTATGCATTATAAGGTTTTTTCAACCACACCTGAGTTTATACTAATGAGTGACTCTTTTGTTAAAAAAATTATTATATCTATATCTTTATGTATATATATATTTTAAATTTTTTACTTATTTATTTTTAGAGAATGGAAGGGAGGGAGAAAGAGATGAAGAGAAACACCAACGTGTGGTTGCTTCTCGCATGCCCCCAAATGGAGAACCTGGCCTGCAACCCAGGCATGTGCCCTGACTGGGAATCGAACCAGTGACCTTTTGGTTCACAGGCCGGCACTCAATCCACACTGAGCCACACCAGCCAGGGCTATATGTATATTTTTTAGAGAGAAGGGAAGGGAGGGAGGAAAGGAGGGAGAGAAACATCAACAGAAATCAATAGGTTTTGCCTCTCCAGGAACTGAACGTGCAATTTAGGCATGTGGCCTGACCAGGAATCGCTTTGCTGGACTCCCAGCCAGCTGGGTCACACTGGTCAGGGCCCAGCGAAGTGACTCTACGTGGGCCCCTGGATAGCTTCAGGATGGGGTCTGGTTACCAGAGGCATCAACTGTGTTAATGACTGGAAGTTTCAGCCTCACCCCAACCCCCTCTAGGGAGGGGAGAGAGGCTGGAGATCGAGTCAGTCACCACCAATGGCTCACGATTTAGTCAATCGTGGCCATGTAATGGAACCTCTACAAGAATCCCTCGACTACGGCATTCGGAGAGCTTCTGGGTTAGAGAACGTATCCTCTTGCCAGGAAGGTGGGCATGCTGACTCCCCTGGGACAGAAGCTCCAGTGCTCAGGACCCACCCAGACCTCACCCTGAGCACCCTAAGCACCTCACCCTGAGCACCCCATCTGGCTGTCCAGCATGTAAACCGTATCCTTTATAACACTGTTTACAATAAGCCAGTAAATATAAGTAAAGCATTTCCCGGAGTTCCATGAATCAGTACAGCACATGATTGAACCTGAGGAGGGGGCTGCGGGGACCTGGGGTCTAGAGCTGTTTGGTTGGGAGCGCAGGTGACAAACTGGGCTTGCGCCTGGCAGCTGACATGGGAAGAGGGGAGAGGTGTTGTGGGACCGAGCCTTTACTTAACGCGTGGACTCTGCTGCTAACCCCTTGCTGTCGGAATTGAATCAGACTGTAGGATACCCAGTTGGAGTCCAGAGAGTTGGTGTGAGGAGAAACTACACACTTGTTGCCAGAAGCGAATGGCTATCAGTGAACAACAGATCTTCCTAGTCTCACCTTCGGGAGTTTCCAGGTGAATCATACTTCTGACAAACTGGCTACAAATTCGCCATTTCCCCTGGCTCTCTTGACAATTCACCGGAATGAATGACCCACAGAACCCAGGAAAGCACTATATAGGCATACCTCCGGAGGTATTGTGGGTTCCGTTCTAAACCATCATAATAAAGCAAGTATCACAATAAAACGAGCCGTAATTTTTGGCGGGTGGAGGGTCTTCCCTTCAATTTATAAAAAAATGCAACACTTGCCAAGTGCAATAAAGCAAACTGCAATAAAACGAGGTATGGCTATACTTACAATTACAGCTTTATCATAAAGGATGCACAATAGACCAGGACAGCCAAAGGAAGAGACACGCAGGGTGTGGTCTGAGGGACAACACAGAGCTTTTGTACCTTCTCGCTGTTCACTGTCGTCAGTGTGTCACACTCCTGGCACACCAGCATGTTCACAAGCCAGAAGCTCCCTGGAGACGAGTTTTCACTACCTGAGGTAGGGCTGATCAAATCACTTGTTGCATGGTCACATGACTGAGCTCAAATCCAGACCCCTCCCCTCCCTGCCTGGGCAAAAGTCCAATCCTCTAATCAAGTGCTTGGTCTTTCTGGTGAGCAGCCCATCATTCTGAAGTTATCCCGGGGCCCGACTGAACAAAGACACGCCTGGCACTCAGGATATTCCAAAGTCTTTGAAGCTGTGTGCTAGGAACCAGGGACAAAAAATCAGATACAGGTATTCCCCGACTTTTCAAAAGTTCACCTTATGCCACTTACCTTAAAGACCTAGATTAGTACCTGTTTTTGCTAACTGAAAGAAATCCAAAGACCAATCTCCCTTTTACGAAAAAAAGAAAGGTGAAACGTGGAAATACCATTCAGCTTCTGTTTTGCAGCGAGTGGTTATAGGGGCGGCTCACACCTGGGAGTGGCAAGAGTGATGCCGTCACCAACCTCCTTCCCTGCGAGCTACACTCAGCACCAAGCTGCCACAGCTTAGAACTGTGTCTGCGTCTGCGAGCATCTGTGGTTTGCCTGAATTTATTTTGTGCGCCTGTTAGCAAGACATGTCCTAAGGTAATCACTTCTTCAATTTATGCCATTTCAGTTTATGAAAGGTTTCATTAGAACGCTCTACATTTGCATAGTGGGGTGAACTTGTATACTCTTTATTGTACCACAGCATGCATCACACTCATTGTCATCACTGTTGTGCCTGTCTCCCTGGGGAACTATTGGGAAGGCAGGAACCTGTCCTGCTGTTTGCCACTGAAGCTCCGCTATCTTATATGTGCCCGTGGCATAAGGAACGCTCCGTGTAACATTTGCTGAGCAAATCGGTGAGGCTGGTGTTAAAGAAATTCTGGACTTCAGGTGTTAGTTATATTTTGTTCAAAAATAATACTTTACAGGCAAAATGTCTATCAATAGGGAGCTGGTTGAATAAATCACGGTATATTCATACAACAGAATTACTATTAAAAAAGGATGAATATACTCTAGTCCAGGGGTGTCAAATTCATTTTCACCAGGGGCCACGTCAGCTTTGCAGTTGCCTTCAAAGGGCTGGATGTAATTTCAACTCCTTAGCAGTTAAGGAGTAGTTACATTTATACAGCCCTAAAATTATTTTGGCCCTTGGAAGGCAACCGCAAGGCTGATGTGGCCCCCAGGAAAAAAGGAGTTTGACACCCCTGCTCTAGATAGATATGTTGATAATTAATAGATCTCCAAGAGATTATGTAGCAGAAAAAAAAAGAACAATGAATAGTATGTTCTCTTTAACGAACAATGTAAAGTATTTCATCTTAAGTGTTCAGTGTAGTGATTATTAACTAATACATTAGTGTTGACCACTTTGTAGATTGGGCTATAGAATATTTCCAGGCCTTGGAAACTTTCTCATATTCCCTCTTAGTCCACACCCTCCAAATGCAGCCATTATTGACTTTTCTCACCTTAAATTAATGTTGCCTGTTTTTGAACTTCATACTTTTGGAATCACATAGATGATACTGCCCATTTAAACTAAATATTCGGTCTTTTTGTGAATAAATCACACTTTGTAACCTACTTTTCCTTCTTAGCACTATCGCACGAACATTTTGCCAATACAATAAAATCATGATGTTGAATTGCTGTATCGTAACTAGGATGTTCTTGCTTATATCTAATTAATTTAGTTAGTTATTTTTAACTCATGAGGGAAGAGGAGTTCAGAGAACTCACACAGGCAGCAAGGGTAGAAACTGGGACTCAAACCTGTTCCTCCATAGCTCACTCCTCCACCGCGAAAAGCCCAGGGCTCACGGGAGCCTTCCAGATAACTTGCAAGAGGACATTGTAATAACAAAAACAACGACTACTAACTATTAATGGCTTATGACAAAAGAACAAATGATATTAATTACCTTAATATGTTAGGCGTATTAGTAATGTTTGTACAGTATTATTCATGCAAATATTATTAGCCTGTGTCACGGGCAGTTCCTGGGCCCAGAGCAGCTCAGGTCTCGCTCCCTCATTCCAGATGTGCAGGGGCTGGGACCTCGAGGGCCACGCCCCCGTGGAGCTCAGAGGAGCCAATCGGAGCACAGAAGGCGGGGCCCTGGGAGCGACAACGCTGCTGTCCAATGGGCCGAGAGCCGGGGCCGTCCCTGGCCAATGGATGCACTGCTCCGCGACGGTCGGAAATGTTGAGGCGGCTCTGGGGCCGTTGTTCTGTGCGGTGGGCAGACTGAGGCTCCAAATCGGTGACTCGCGAGTCCGCTCGACGTCCTTCTTCTGGTTCTGGGTAAGTGGAGCGGCGGCCCGAGTCTGAGGAGTTTCCCGCGGCCTCCAGTTCGGGAGGAGGCCGGTACCCCGAGGGCGGGGTGGGCGGGCGAGGGGGCTGGAGGCTGGGGGTCGCGGCCCCAAGGAGAAAGATGCCCGCACCGCGGTATCTCCCCAGGCCGCTGGTGGAGGCGGCATTTTCTCCTCAGGGAACCGGAGCCTCGACAGCCCCCAGCGGCGCCGCCGGCCGCCGCCCCTTCCCGGCGTTGGCCTCAGCGGCTGGGCGTCGTCCGGAGCGCCGCTGGGCCACCGCGCCCGGGGGCGGAGCTGGGCCCAAGTCTCGAGCTGCCGACTCGGGGGATAGCGGTGGCCTAGTGCGGGCTCTCGGCCCAGGGCCCCGGGTTCGAGTCCCCACTCCGACCAACTGTGCTGTGGGTGGCCGTGCCCGCGGACTTCCGCGGTCTCCAAAATGGGGGCAAGGACTTCCGCCTGGGAGGGTCGTGGTCCGGATTATAAAGATTGCCCGTGGAAAGTGTTTGCGATAAACGCACACTGAGTGTTAACTACTGCTGTTGGCGAAGCCGGTGCCCTCTCCCCTCGGGATCCCGAACGCGCCGACGCGCTGTGGGGAGGGGGCAGGAGGAAATCCGTGATGCCGGGGTCCCGACCCCGCGGTGGTAGCTCCGCCCCCTAGGGCGCCCAACGTCGTGGACTTGCTGCGGGGCAGCCCCTCCGGCGTTCGCTCGCTCACTCCTCTTGGCGACCGTTGGGAATATTGTCAGTTTTCTGCGGGAGGAGTTGGGGGCCCAGAGAGGTGGGATCAGCCAGCCGCAGAGGGGCGGAGCCGGAGTTGGACCCTCACGGGGGTCCCGGACCCTGCACGGCGACCCCAGTCCCCTCCGGCAGCTAGAAAACCGGGTCCTGCCCTGGGTGTAGCCGCTGGAATACGGAACGGAGCACCTGGAGCCAGTGATCCCAGGAAAGTACGCGGGCTTCCCCCTTTTGGGAGCGTGATTGGTTTTCCCGGATAGGCGCTTCCTATCCCTAGCTTACATTTCTTATCGGAGTGGGAATCTTGAGTCACGTGGCTTCCGAGTTTAAATACCGTGGAGTTTGGGGTAGCCAGTGTTCTTGCTGCCCTGCTGGGTAGGTCTTACGCCTTTTTTCACTGTGCTCCTTCAGACCTCTGTTTACTTGCTCTTTCATTTCCTTTTAAGCCCGTTGCCTTAATTAATGGATTCCCCCCCACTCCCATCTGCTATCTTTCTTAACTTCCTCTTTGCAGGGTGGCTCTTCCAACTTCAGGTCTCAAGTTTAAATTTCATTATCAGAAAGTTCCTCACCACCCTTTAATCTAAACTAGATTCCCTCCACTCCCGTCTCCCTTTGTCTGTGTGCTATTCCATCAAAATACTCACCTTCAGGTATATATGTTTCTTTGCGAATTTTTTTTCTCTTTTACCAAGTTGATCTGTTGGGCTAGACACTGTATTTCTTTAACTTGTATTTGTGACTTCAGGGCACACTGTCTAGCACACAGCATCTTAATTCACATGTTGAATGGATAAATACGAGTTTTGCAAAAGTGAGTTAGTTTGGAAACGTCAGTACCCAAAAGGGGGACAGTTTATAAGGCCATTTTTGCATCATGGAAAGGAATAATCTAAAGTAAATATTGGTAATAAAATTGCCACACCTTGCCTTCTGCATTCATACCTGGTTTAAAAAATACAGGAAAACTGTACAGTGGAGAGACCTGGCAGATACCATCTTAACTAAGTGATCAGGGTTAGCGTCATCTGTGATAATAAGCCTGTGACATTATATGCTTTCTGATACAACGCACCAAGACGGAAACATCACTTTGCTGGTGTTCTTGCCAGTTACACATTAATCATGAGAAAACATCAAACAAACCCAGACTGAAGGACATTCTACAAAATGACTAGCCAATACACTTAACGAGGTTAGGAAAGATGGAGAAAGACTGAAGAAATATCCCAGGCTCAAAGGAGATTAAGGAGAAATAACTAAATGCAGTATGCGAGCCTGGATTTGTTCCTGAACCAGAAAAGGGTTTTTAGTGACAGGATTTGTGAAATTTGAACATCTGTCGGTTAACCACCAGTATTGTATTAGTGTTAGTTTCCTACATTTGATAATTTTCCTATCGTTATTTATGATGTTTTGGGTGAGTTGTATATAGGAGTTCTTTGTGCTGTTTTCTGCAAGTCAGATTATTTTCAAGTGAAAATTAAAAAATAAAAGGAAGGTGTAAAACCCATGTGTTTGGTATTAAATAAAATGCTTTAAATACACTAGTTTTGGTGATATATACTGTGCACTAGTTTTTTTTACCTTTGTGTTTTGCTTGTAATCCTTAAAGCAGAAATGAAATTGAAAGTTCTCTCTTCTAACTTTGTAGTTTTCAGGAAGAGCTTAAGATGGCTGAATTTCTAGATGACCAGGACACCCGACTGTGTGACAACTGGTAAGAAATTAAATCCAAGGAATGTTACTGGAATGAGGACAAACTAGCTTCGGTAAAGAGTCGGTTTATTTATTGGCAGGTTAAAATGGGAGCCATGTAATATGTCCTGCAACTATATGGGACTCAAACCTTTGTAACAATTTTGGATAAAATTGTCTGTTTTGGTAATTTGACAAGACGGTGAGTTTGGGTATCACGGTGTGCTGACCAGTGACAGGAGGAAGCTGGCAGTCCGGGCTCTGGCTCCTGCCTTTAGTTAGTTAGTGACCTTTGGCAAGTCACTGACTGCTTTGGGCCCCAGTTTTCTCGTCTGTAAATGAGGGGATTTATTTTTTGTCTTCCTGAAAAATATCATCATACATTTTTTTAAAAGATACTAAAAATGTAATACGATACTTGGACTGGACTAATGTTTTCAAAGTATGTTGCAAGGATTTCCCCGAGTGACTGTGGTGGCTGGTGGTCTTGGGGTTGATTAGGAGCAAGGTTTAGTGAGCTTGGCTCTACATCTCGTAGTGAGAGAGCAGTTCAGCCAGAGCAGCTGAACTGTTTTCATTATTATTATTATTATTATTATTTAAAGATTTATTTGTTTTTAGAGAGGGGGAGGGGAGAAGGAGAGGGAGAGAGAAGTCTTCCAGCAGCACAGATTGGTCATTATCATTTCATGGTTCCAGACTGCCAGTGAAGACTGGGCATGGTCTTGAATGTTAAGCTGTATATTTTGATGTTTTTAACTCACGTGAGTGACAAGAAAGAGCAGCTCTTCCTGGCTGAAATGAAACTTGGAGTGCAGCTAATCTGATTGCTGGTTGTGATTTCTCAAGAACTTGTTATTTTAGTGATTCACATACTTAAAGCTAAAGGAAGTAAAACTTTGTGTTGTGTTTAACTTACCAAATTGTGGTAGAAGGAAAGAGATGTTGAGTAAAGGAAATAGTTTGATGCAGATTGATGAAAGGTTTGAGCCAAATTACTTTTTTTAAATTTCCTATTTCTTTCTGCTCAGCCTTTTGGCAGAAGTAGGATATAATCAGAGCAATTGCTGGTCATAATATTTTTTCCCTGCATGGAATTAAGATTTTATTTCTTTAAAAAAAGATTTTATTACTGTGAGGGTGTCTTGCCTTATAGGGTATTTTTTTTTTCTATTTTTCTACTGTGCCTCTATCATATTGTGCCATTGAAAACACTATTTTAGCTTTATTTGGGTTTTACTTATACTGTTACTGATAGAGTAATCAGTAGTACAAATAATCACAAGCATCACTGTGATTTTATAAGAAAACAGCCATATAGCTTTAGTATCAGTGAAGACACTCTTATTTTTATCAGCCCAAGGATCTCAAGCCTAGAACACTATATAAATAACTATGCCAAGGGAGTTTTTTTAAAAAAGGGTAAGTTAATGGAAAGCTAATGAAAACAAGGTTATTCAAAGTGAAAGCAATTTATTTAAAGAAAAAAGCAGATTAGCATAGCAGGCTGACTAAGCCAGCACAGACCTCCCATCTAAGTGACCCTGTTTAAATTCCAGGTTTTAAAATGTAGGCTATAGAGACATATTCCTATGGTTCACTAAGAAAAGTTAAGGTACTCATCCAAATATGAGCTGCAGTTAGACTCATTGGTCCAGTCAGAGGAATAGTTGGTTGTGACTGAGGATGGTTTTTGCACGTGATTTCTCGCAGTGCCCTCTGATTGGGAGGAGAGTGTGGCTCTAGGGAACAGAAGTCTCACTTAGCTTTTTAGTGTTGTGTATATTGAAGGACTGATTTCTAGCTGGTCGTGTTTACTGTTTGGTAGGCCGCTGGGAATTTTTCTGGAACTCTTGATGCGCCTTTCATTCATTTTTATCTAAAATGAAATTTTATTTTTACCTTGCTAGTTCTTCCTTGGGGCTTTTAGCAGGTTTTATGTATATATGTATGAAATTGTGTTCTCATTTATCTCACTTAAAACATTTTGATATTATCTGTAGGTCGGAAGCCGGTGTATTAGTATTTTGTCTGGTTGGAATGTTTGGTGGAATGACTTTGGCAGTTCAATTTAAAAAGAAAACAAAACCAGCAGGCAGGTGTTTCATGTCATTGTTGCAAATACCTTTCATCCTTTTCTTTCATCTTTCAAGGTTTCCCAAGAGGTAAAAATGTGTAATAGTAAATGTTCTGTAGTCATACCTGATAGCTGCTTTTGATTCTTCCTTGTTATGATTGTGTGGTCCTTAATTTGTTTTAATTCTGAAATTTTGGTGGCCTGTATATAGGGAATGATCTTTTTCAATATGTTATCCTGAGTATCCCTGTAAAATAAAAACTAGACTTTTTTCTTTCTGTTAAAAGAACATTTTTGTCCAGACTATGAAAAAGAGCCCAGGATGTTGTCACCCTACGTAGTGATTACGGCTGCCAATTTTTCATGGCCTTTGTGCACAGGCAACTCGCAGTCATGACACAGCTCTGCTGCTTTACTTTGCTGGTGTACCGTGTTTCACCTCGCTGTACTGTACTGTTTAAACATCTTTAATGGTTTTCATTTTTGTACCATTTTATGACTCTAATGAAAATCTTCATAATCCCAAGAGTGCAATTACTGAGTGAAAGAGCATGTAATTTTACAGTCCTAGAAATGCATTTCTAGACTATTTTTAAGCAGTTTACATGACCACTAGCAATGCGTTTCACATCTTTAGGATGTCTTTACTAAAGGCGTACGTCACAGGGGCTGCGGGTTTGGCGCTAGACGCTGCAGTGACACGGCGTGGTCTCGGTGCCGGCGGAGCGTCTCGCCTCTGGCCTGTAAACAAGGCAGCATCTGCGAAGTGCAGGGAAGTGAGGTGTGCCTGTCGTGGGATTTACTCACTCTCATTTCGTTGAAGTGATGGGTTCCCATGATAACTGATGTATAGCGCCTTCCACTATATAAATATCCTACAGTTAAAAAAACTGAATTAATAGAAAAGTAATGGTTCCTTAGAAAGCTAGGAATTTTGGAGAAATAGCAGAAGTTAAATCTGTTAAGAAGACATGGTTTTCCTCAATCCATTTGAGTTTTCTTCCCACTCTCGCTGTTGATTTTTTTTCGGTGCCACTTTTGAGCTCTGACGTGAGAGCTTCCTTGACAGTTCTGTCGCTGGGTGAAAATGGATTTGTTCGTGTCCTGGTCTTTCACATTGGGAGTCTGACCGGAGCGGGAGGCACGGGAGCCATCCTGCTCTGAAACGCTGGTTGGTTGGGCCGGACACGAAGGGGAGCGCCGGGAAGGAGACCCTGCTTGCGGTGCGCGACGGAGCGCATCCCGCTTCAGAGACGGGCTAGGGTGTGAACGGTTTGTTGTGAGTATCTTTGGGCCGTGCAGTATTTTTTTTCCTGAAATTTTATTATAGGTGACATTCAGATAGGCACATTGTTTAAATGCAGGCTTTGTGACACTGCGAAATTGGAGTTTTCCAGTGGTCAGATCCACTTTAGTAAAAAGTTAGGCCTTTGACACTGTGTGCCTCTAGTTTGAATGTATGTATAGTCTTGTTAAATTTACTTTTATTCAATTTTATATTTAAATTGTAGTTAATAAAATATATTAGTTTCATGTATACAACATAAATGATTCAACATTTTTATACCTTACGAAGAAATCACCACAATAAGTCTAATAATCATCTATCCCCATATATAGTTATTATATTAATGACTATATTCCATTCTTAAGTTAAAATGGTCTTACTTTCTCACTTAAGAAGATCATTTTCCTCCCTTTTTTCCCCCTAGATATAATCTCCAATTAGATCTTTTTAACCAGCAATTTTCAAATGGTATGGCACAAGAATTTTTAAAAGATGCTACACCTGCCTATTTAGGGGTCGGGGCACTGACCCCTTTTTTCTTACCTTGTCAGATAAAAAATGGCAGCAGCCAATACAACAATAGCGATCCAGTGTGAATGAATCAAAATTATACCTACTTTTTTTGTCAGCTTGGCAAAGAATATTATATATGTTTTGGTGTGCTGTAGAATTGTAGTAGTTTTATGTGTGCCATGAGATGGAATCACTTCCATACACTAAAAAAGAATGGCAAAAAGTGAGTGAGGACGTGACTGGGGGAAGGGTGCAGGCCTTTGTTTTTGTCCAGTCCTGCAGTGGCGTTTATACCAGCCTGGCCCGGGGGCGTGATCCTGCCTGGCATCCAGCCTGCTTTGAAAAGCATGTGGGTCATAAGGGAGGCAATTTCCCCATTCCCAATGACTATCCCAAAGCTAGCATCTACTCTTTCCAGTTTGGCTTAAAAATTAAAATTGCCCTGGCTGGCGTGGCTCAGTGGATTGAGCACCAGCCTGCAAACTCAAAGGTCGCAGGTTTAATTCCCAGTCAGGGCACATGCCTGGATTGTGGGCCAAGTCCCCAACGATCAATGTTTCTCTCCCTCTTTCTCCCTCTCTTCCCCTCTCTCTAAAAATAAATAAATACATTCTTTAAAAAAATTAATTGGAAAAATTTTAATTAGAAACCATCGAATGCACTTTACATTGATGACTGCAGTACTGAAACTGACGTTTTATTTTTTTTGCTTATTTTTAGAGAGAGGGGAAGGGAGGGAGAAAGAAAGAGTGGGAGAGAATCATCTATCGGTTACCTCTTTCTTGCACTCCCCTGACTGGGGACATGGCCAGCAACCCAGGCATGTGCCCTGGTTGGGAACCAGTGACCTTTCAATTTTCAGGCCAGCGCTCGATCCACCAAGCCATAACTGCCAGGGTGGAACTGTGACATTCTAACTATTTTTCTCAAAGAAGTTTAGTGATTTTCTTTTTCCTGGGAAACATGGAGATCCAACTATGAGTGTTAATATGGCCAGTTTAGAACACTATGGTTTAATTAATGCTAATATCTGACCAGGTGTTCACATGCCATATCTACAAATGCTGGGTCGTGAACTTGTATTACTGAATTTTAGCAAAAATTTCATGAGATAATTTAAAGGAATGCCAAGTTTCTGAAGTACAAACTCGTAAAACCCTACACTGGGATGACTTTTTTGTTTTAAGTGCATCTGACTTGAGAATACAGGCAACTTTTCTCTCCTGAGTCCTTGAGAAAATGTTTCTGCAAGTTTTGTGTTGTGACTTTCCTATGACTGGGCTGTTTCTAAGGAAGATCATCAGTTCTCTGGTTAGTTTCCCACAGTTGATAAAAATCTACCAAAAACATGATACAATTTGCAAAGGAAAAAAGTTGTTTTCAAAGGCTGCAGGGACAGGAAAAAAATAGCACTTCTTATTTGTATAAGCACAAACACTTAAAACTAGTCATACTGGAGGTAGATCCAATATAGTGTTCAAAAGTTCTAAAAAACAAACAAAAGATACATATTCATTTCCATCGCTCCAGTTGTGAAATGCTAGATCTGCACAAGAGTTGCACTATAGCAGTTTGCTGGCTCGATTGAAGAGTTCCAAGTCTTTTTTGTGTATTTGGCCCAATAATGTCCTCATCCCAGATAAATTCAGTTCAGAAAATGGAAATTTGGGCAAAGATCCTTATATCAAAGCACAAGGATATGCTACTAGAAGTTGCTTTTCTTCCATGGCTAATACAGAAATAAAAATTTTGGAAGCAGGAAAACTACACCATTAAATAATTCCAGCAGTGAATGTGATTTATATGCCATTCTGTCAAGAAAATATCACTGTAAAGCCACATAGTAGGGTTGTGGGAAGACAGTATCCCAAGACGCTGCACAAATGGAACACCTATCATGCTCATTACGTTTAATAAAACATTCCTAGACACCCCATGCACTGACCCCCTGCATAGGCATAGCCTACTGGGTTTGCCAGGCAGTAACTCTGTGGCTCCAAAGCAGGGCAGCAGGGCACTGGTCCTGCCAGCTCAGTCTCATTCATGGTGCTACCTTCTGCTACTTCCAGTGGATTGTAACACTGTTGGTGTTTTTTGCCCGATGTAGTCAAAATTAATACCTAATTTTTCTAATAAAGGTAGCTCATCCTCAGAGTGGTTTCCTAGAACGGTGGGGTGTAGCTGGACTATAGGCATATATGCCCTAGCTGGCTGGAAGGTCTGCCCGTGTATGGCTTTTGTAGCTGCATTATGTCTGGAGGGACAAGTGGCTCTTGTTGCGAGTAGTAATAGCCAGCATGCTGTGGGGCCTCCACCGGCACAGGCTGCTGTTATTGGTCTCTGGTGCTGTGACCTCTCTGATAGAAGTGTGGTTATCAAAGCCTGACTTTGCAAATGATCAAACACAGAGGGTGAGGCAGTAGCTCCAACAGCCTGGTTTCATTTTTGGTGGAATAAAATTGAAATGATATTAAACCAACCTCAGACTGAGAGTGAGAATAAATGGTAGGCTTTTTTTTTTTTCTTTTTTTTAACAATCCTGGAGTGTACCATTGTGCTTTGGAGCATGGATGGTTTCGGAAAAGCCCAGCTCAGCTCTTTTTGGCATCTGACTTCATATTGTTGGTTGTGATCAGCTCTGACACCTAGAAAGTGAGGCTGAGCTTTTAGAGTTGGTATATAATACTGATAATTCAAAGAGTGTTGCACAGAAGACTCCAAACCTTCAGATGTTAATTCTTGAAAAGCAGGGGTAGTAACAATCATAAGAGCTAACAGACTAGACATTCACTGAAGGGAAATAATGGGGAATGAAGATTGAACAGGACAGGTTTCCACATGACACAACCAAACAGATCAGTCAGTAATGTCGCCTTTTTCTTTGATCTATTTCTATAGCAAAAAAGACATTCCTGTGTGTAACTTTACCATCCATGAGATCCACTGCCACAGGAACATTGGGATGTGCCCTGTCTGCAAGGAACCATTCCCCAAATCGGACATGCAGACTCACATGGCGACAGAGCACTGTCAGGTGAGCCACCAAGGTCGCAGATGTTCATTAACGTGTTATGCTTGCTACTGTGCAAGTTGTCACAAAGCCAATGTATTGTTTCTCACTGCTTATCCTAGGTAACCTGCAAATGTAACAAGAAGTTGGAGAAGAGGCATCTAAAGAATCATGAGGTTAGTGCCCCTGCACGATAAAGGGAGCGAGTTACCCCGGGGCCAGCAGTGAGAGTGCAGAGCCGCGTGCAGACCGGAAAGCCGGTGCGCTTGCCCCGTTCTCTACCAGCTCCATGCTCATCGCCTCACAAAGCCTGTTGGAGGCTTTGACTGTTTGCTGCCAGACTGGGCTGGTGGTTGTCGTGCCCCATGCTCAGGCCACAGAGCCTTTCCCTTGGGGACTGAGTCTGTCATTCTCGTGCTGGGGTTTGGCTGTTAGCAGCCTCACTGCGTGCTAAGCCACTCTTGGGGTTGCCAGTGTGATACGACCTTGCCACCCAGCCTGCCTTACGTCTTGTGATTTCATTTTGACTTCTTGGTCACTTGGCCAGCATGCTGTTTACACCCAAAGAAATTCCTCAGCTTTTGGTGAGAGAGAACATAGTATCATTTAGTCTCTAAGATAAAACTTTCCATTATGGAATGAGGATACACACACACATATATTTTGAATGAGCATATGAATTTACTAGCTTAAAAAAATCCCACCAACAACTACTTAATTGGTGGACACACAGGAATGTGTCTACATATGTAAAAATTTATCAAGGAATGCAACTTAAGGTTTGTGCTTTTCATTCTATGTCCCTGAAAGTACTAATGACTTATTAACTTACAATTTTAAAAGGTAATTGATATTCAATGGAAAATTTTAGGAAAAATACAAAATAAGAATCACTTATAACCCCACAGCTCAGGGATAAATGTCTCATAAATACTTTGGCACCTCTGCCTTCATTATTTTTTCTAAGGACGTGACCTATGCTTTACGAGGTCTCACCAGCAAGGGGGTTGTGAGCGAGGCCACATCAACAATAATAATGAGTGTTTCTCTGGGTCTAACATCTACCTGCTGCATAAACACCCTCCGATCAACTGCCTGCTCTTCTGGCTTCTCTCCCAACTGTTTCCTGGCTTCGCATGGTGATATACCAGTCATCCTAAAGAGTCAAGTACAAAGTATTTTTTAACACCCCAACTTTGGCTATGTAGGCAGAGATTAAGGAGTTTTTAAAAATTCTCCTTTAAAAAATGTTTTTATTTTATTTGCTGTGTGGTGAGTTAGTAGCACTTTTTAGGGTTGTTAAAGTACCTACTATATTATCTAGTAAGTGCCAATTATTTGCTGCTTTATTTGCTGTTCAGTAACTTAAATCAGTGACATTTTTCTAATAAAGTTTTTTAAAAAGACAGATTGGAATAGTAGTGGGAATTAAGGCTGGTGGGGTTCTGACCAGCCTATCTGAATTGCTGTGCTTTTGCTATTTGATGCCTGGGGGTCATCAGGCTGACTGGGGGTTACTGTAATGTGTGCCCCAATGACCAGAAGTCAGGGTGGCTGGGTGAGCAGGTTCCTTCTAAGAGTTTTCTTCCCTTTGTAGAACCTGATAGCAGGGACAGAGGGAGAAGCCTTGACTCTTAAATGCATAGGGAGACACGGCGGGCAGGGGAAGCTAGGGTTGGAAGAGAATATTGAAGTGAACACTTTTGCCCTCCTTGTGCTGTACTGAAACATGGCCTCTCCGATATTTGCATGTTAACTGCCTCATTACTCTGTGTTGCAGGAGACTGAGTGTCCTCTACGGCTTGCCCTTTGCCAGCACTGCGATTTGGAACTTTCTGTTCTCAAACTGAAGGACCATGAAGATTACTGTGGCGCCCGGACAGAGTTATGTGGCAGTTGTGGGCGTAATGTCCTCGTGAAGGATCTGAAGACTCACCCTGAAGTTTGTGGGAGAGATGCGGTGGAGAAGAGAGATGAGGTTGTCCTGCCTCCTACTGCCTACGACGAGCCTTGGGGTCAAGATGGAATCTGGATCGCGTCCCAACTCCTCAGACAGATTCAGTCTCTGGATCCACCCGTGAGGCTGCCCCGAAGTCCCCTGCGAGCCTTGGAATCAGACCTTTTCCATAGCAGGACTGCCGCCCAAAGGAACATGACGACCCACTTTCCAGTTCAGAATAATCTGGGTGAGTCGTGTTTGGGATTGGAAGGGTCTCACCATCGGGGGAAATGGGAACGGGGCGTTGGGGCCGGAGAGATGTTAGTTGTAGAAGTCTGATTGTAGCTAGGTAGCACTAGGAAGAACACCTAATTTTTCTTGTAGTTGTCAGTAACAGAATCTTTTTGCTATTGGATTACTATTGTCTATAGTTAGGATTCATGATGATGATGACGATGATGATGATTACAGTGCTATTAAACAGCTCCTATTTACTGAGTATGCCCCGTGTTCCGCAGGCATTTGCAGTGTGCTCTACATGTATTAACTCATTTAATTCTCCCGGCAGTCTTGTGAGGGTGGGTCAGTGATAAAGCAGGGGTTTGAATTCAGTGGCAACCTGACCCCATGCTTTCTGTCTTTCTACTGCAATGGAGAAAATATACCTAAAATGTTTAGTACAGTGCCTGTCGTGTAGTTAGCCCAATAATATTGCTTATTAATGGGACAGTCAGAATAGTAGTGGAGCCTTCCATCACGGCAGACTTAATACTTGGAGCCCTGTGAGCACTGGGGGGCGGGGCCTCTTTTGTTCCTGCACAGATGCCTGTGAACCTTGAACATTTTGTAGGCATGGACTTAAACTACAGCATGGCAACATTTCTAACGTGTCTTAAGAACTGGTTTTCTTTTTTTCCCCAGTGGAAGAACAAGAAAGACAGGAAAGAAATAGAAGACGACAGTCCCCCAAAGAGGGTGGTGAAGACAGTGCGAACTTGGACTTCATGTTGGCCCTCAGTCTGCAAAACGAAGGCCGGACCCCCAGACTGGTAGAACAGGACTTCTGGACAGCCATGTGTGGGGCAGACCAGTCCCAGGAGGGTCCCATTGATCTGGACGACATGAAGGGTAGGTGGGTTTGGTCACTAGCCTATCTCCAGTTTAAAAAGTCTTACACTATACAATTCATACAATTGAAAGTTTTTCATGAGATAAAATTTCCCTTCGTTTGTTTCTTTTTCCAGCTTTTTATTTTTGAAAACTATCAGAATAGTATAGCAGATGTCTATATCCCACTCATCTATATTCACCATTTTTGCTATTTTTATCTTTTTTTAAATAGATTTGGTGGGGGGAAGAGAAACATTGATTTGTTCCAGTTATGTATGCATTCACTGGTGTGCGTCCTGGGCATTCTCTTACCTCTCTTCTTTCTAGTGTGTTGTTTAGTATGTCCATTGAGGTTTTACTTGAGTAATTATACGTTTTTCATTTGTTCTATTTGGGGTCTGTTTCTTTTTTCTTCAACGTGTCTCATCATTTTCAAAATGATCTTTTATACCTAACTTATATTGCAGTTTCTTTAACCCGTCTTTAAACTTGTTAAATATACTTACTTTTCTATTGTCTGAAAATATATCTAATTTTTTTTTTTTTTGCTATTTATTGCTTCTGCCGACTCAGTCACAGCAGTTTGCTGTCTCCCTCCCTGTGCGTGCTCGTGTGTGTGTTCTGACGTGTTCCCCTGAGGGCACTTAGGGGTGCTACTGACAGAGTTTCAACCTGGATTTTCGGTTTGGGTTTTTAAAAATCATAAATGTGGATTTTGGATTCAAACTCATGTAAAGGCCAAACTCTAGTCACTTTGCTTTCGTAGCCTTTTCTGTCTTCTGCCCAGAGCCCAAACCTAGCCGGCGAGTTTCCTCACCGCCCGCGCAGTCCGCCCTCCGTTTGTCCGGCAGCCTTCCCGAGGCCGTTTTGTTCTGGCAGGCCCGGGTTTAAAACTGTTCTTACAAATTCGATTTACTGCAAGTTGCTTTTACTCGGCATCTTTGACATTTTGTACTGGGAGGGTTTTTCGAGGATATCTTCTGCCAGTGATATATGAGCTTTAGTTTCTCCATGTGTAAAATGAGGCTGATGGAGAACCTACCTCGTAAGTCTTTGCTGAGGATTGAAACAACGCACTGGATGGTGCCCACGGGCTGTCGCACGTTTAAATGTTCGTGAGAGTAGTGGGTAAGTTACTTTCACGCCGCTCAGGGAATGGCAATCAGTACGTCTTTTTCCATAATGGCAGTTTTCGCCTGGGGCTTGTCTCTTAGTTTTCCTTGGAGGATTTACAGTGCCACCAATTGCTCCATCTCTGAAATATCACAGGGAGTCACAATTTTATATAAACCTCCACCGGGGGGGCGTCAGAGGTGGAATCAAGGTGTTTTTGCTCATTCGGGTGTGACATTGTGGCCTCTGCCGCCAGGTGCAGCCGACGAGACCATGCTGCCGTGCGAGTTTTGTGAGGAGCTCTACCCGGAGCAGCTGCTGATCGACCACCAGGTGGGTGGCCACTGAGTCAGGGCGTGAGCGCGCCTGGTGCTGCAGGCCGCGTGGGTCCTGGCAAACTATTTAAACACACCTGTTGTAGGAGTAGCAGCTGGGTGTTTGTTTTTTTGTTGTCTTTTTTACCGTGGTGTGACTGACACAGGGGTCTGAGGACTCAGTGTCGGATAGAGCACTGCTCACTCCAGTAGGCCTGTTCGCGCCCTCCATACCGTGGTGAGTACTGTGCCTCTCTGCCGGCGACCTTGGACTCCCGTCTCATCTCATGCCATGTTCTGTTTACTGGAGCTGTACTCAGATTCTCACGGTTCCCTGGAAGGCTCGGGGGTCCTTCTCATGCTTTACTTTTTCTGCCTGGAAGCTGGACGGCCTTCCCCAACACACCCAACAACGCAGACCCCTTACGTGTAGACTTGGTTCCGACGCGACTTCCCAGAAACCGTCCTGAGCGAGCTCCAAAGGCTACGTCAGAGGTCCCGCCTGTGTGCCCCCCAGACATTCCGTGCCCACTTCTCTCTCAGTCTGTCCCCTGGGGTGTGGTCTCCTGATGCCCTGCCACTTGCGAGGACAGGTTCTGGGCTTCCTAGGTTCTGAATCTTAATATCTGGTATATGAGAGGTGTCATATTTTTTTTAATGATTGGAAGTTCTTAGCCATTTAGGAATGATTAGAAAATAGCCTTTGAGGGTTGCATATTGGAGAGAACTACTTTCCCCCTCAACACTCTTGCTCTCTCTGATTTGGTTTGGTCTAGTCTAGCATTTCCAAAACTATTAGCATCCCTTTGCTCTTGGTGGAGCATATATTTCCCCTCATAATTGGAATAATACAGTATTTGAGTGAGTACATGCAGTTTTTCATTTGGGAGCAGCATAAGAAAATCCATCAACAGGATAACAAGTATTTGGGCCTGTGTTACTATATTGCTGTGGGAAGAAGCTTGAATCTTTTCAAATTAATTTAAAAAGAATAACCACATGAACACAGTTTAAAAAAAAAGCACAGGCACGTTTAGAAGTGAGTATTGTATTCCATCTGCATTCCCCTAACCCCTTCTAGTTCCTCTCTCCAGTATTACATATACTAAGATTTTGTGACTTGTAGAAAATGTTTTAGGGATATATTTTTTCTTTAACCTATTTTTTTTTTTTTTTTGAGACAGACAAGCTGTAACCCTTCCTGTGCCTTACCTCCGTATAATATGGGTAGCGCTTCCTCCAGAGGGGTGGAGGAGGACCATGACGTCATCTTCCAGAAGTTTGTGCGGCAGGCTACCAATAACCAGTTAGACACTTTGATGGGCCTGGCCAATCTACCCTCTATGGAGGACAGCATCATCATCCCTTGTGAATTCTGTGGGGTGCAGCTGGAAGAGGAGGTGCTGTTTCATCACCAGGTAAGAGTCCCTGCAGGACCCGTCCACTTCACTCCGCACTGATCCTGTGAGTGGGCCTGGGGCTTTCAGAGGAGGGAATGCCGCTTTAGCCTTTAGGCTGCATGCAGCACCGACTTGGCTCCTGGACACGCCCTGTTTTGCGGCTGTCTGACTTTCTCTGTTCTCTGGCAACTGAAGCCTCATGTCACTCGCTGAGGACCAAGGAGCAGGACTCCATTTAAGGAGGCATGGGGGACTTACCAGAATGGTTCAGATGAGACTTCCCTGAGGTCACTGACACATGCTGCTTTTGACCTGATGGATTCTTCTGTCCTGGAGGCATTTGGGACTGCATTTCAGGAGGCCTGGGCGTCTAGCTCTACCCTCCCTGGGGATATCTGTAAATTAAGCAGTTAGACTATACAATCTGAAGTCCTTTTTCAGCTTTTGCTGTCTGGGGTTCCAATCTTTTAGTGGAGAATACATTTTCTGCCCAGTCTTGTTTGTTAGGAGGATCTAACACTGCAGGTGGGTTCAGGGTCATTTCTGTGGTTGGTGCCATTTGGTTGTTGCTAGACCACCGCACATTTCATTCGTATTATAAAGACTTCTAGAAGCTTTTGGATCGAACAGTAAATAAGTAGCTGCAGGTTGTCTCCTATGGGAAACTGAAACAATCAATCATGCAGATACTTGGGTCAAAGTATGGGCATGTTTTTTGGGGCTCTCAAGACCAGCCCTGCCTCGATCCCTGCACAGGTCACACAGTGCTTCTGCAGTGCCCTGGGTGCGAATGGGGTGATGGCTGCGTTCTAGATGCGTTTCCTTAGTCCCAGGCACTTCCTCTCAGTGCTTGTCCGGGTCCCCCCAGAAAGGCGTTCATCCAACCCACTGTTCCTTCCTTTCCCCCCACTGTTCATTTTCCTGGAAATGACTCAGTCCAGAGATACTAATTTTGGTTTTTCTTACTAGGACCAGTGTGACCAACGCCCTGCCACAGCAAACAGCCATGTGACGGAGGGGATTCCTAGACAGGATTTCCAGCCTCAAGAGACCTCAGCAGAGCTGCCCAAGAGGCGTGTCAGACACCAGGGTATTAGCCAGGGTTGGGCCAGAGCCGCAAGTCTGCTGCCGACTCGGGCCTGTTCACTGTTCTCATCGGCTGCTCTAACAAGGGGGCTGCCTGAATCCTAAGTTATCAAGCACTGTAGGGCCTCACCGGGCTAGCTGTGGGCCCACGTTAGACTGAGCCGTCTCGAGTGTAGGTTTATAGGGTAATGGCTTTGGGGACAGCCATGAGACATGCTTAGTAGTCAGTGGTATTTAGCTGTGAGTTTCCTTAGTGGATTATTTGGAGATAATTCCTTTTTAGACCTTACTGTGACTGCCCTGGACCCCTACCTCTAACTGAAGTTTGTTTAGGGTACTCAGTCATCATCATCATCAATCATCATCATCATCAAAGAGCCTCGTGCCTAGACAAATAAACCGTTTTTGACACCACAAAGCCAGTTAGAAATTACTTGTTCCAGGTTTGCTTGCGCATCATTGTTGAATAGTTAGGAGGATGTATCTGGGGACTCGGGTGTAACTCACAGCGAGGACAAAGGGCCCCGGGCCTGTCCTGGAGACTCGGGTTTAGGTGTGAGGCAGCTGTGCTCCACCAGACTCTCTGTGCCTGCCTGAGTCTAGCGCTAACAGCAAGAGCCACCTTTTCCTTCAAGCTGGTGCGCTTTTCTCTTCGCAGGAGACCTGTCTTCTGGTTATATGGATGACATTAAGCAGGAAGCCGCTCAAGTGCCCACGTACCCTCTTCCCCCCACCAGACCCATTAACAACATGGCTACTTGTACCCGACTGCCCACGCCCACGGCAGGCCCCAAGCCTGGTTCCCAGCCAAGCCCTCCTCATGTAATGAAGCTGAACAACTTGGACAGCCAGGACATCCGGGGGCGGAATCAAAACAGCCATAACGGGGACATGGCCGCTGGGCACATTCCAGTGATTCACCCCGTTCAAAATCTCTACCCGGAAAACCTCGTGTCCTCTCTCCCCCGTGGGTCTTCGGGAAGATACGGAGCAAGGTAAGCAGCAGTACCCAGGGAGTAGAGCTTTTCAGCCGTTCAGGTGTATTATGGCCTAATTTCAAAACGTTCTTTTGCTAGCTGTGGGGTTTTAGTTGATCATTTGTCTGCTCAGAGAGCTGCTTATGTCTGGTTCCCGCTGTTTGTCTCCTGAGTTTTCTGACTCGTGCTCGGAGGCAGCTCAGGAACTACTTCCCCGTCCTTCTCTTGCAGTGCTAGGAGTGAAGGTGGCAGGAACTCCCGAGTCTCCCCTGCAGCTGCCAGCTATCGCAGCAGAACTGCAAAGGTAACAAATGGGATCCAGCCCCGAAATGCTCGTTGCGGAGCAGGGCGGGGGTGGGGGTCTGGTGCGGTTCTTGAAGTCAGAGGTGGGCATCAGGCCGCTGTGGCCGAAAGATTGCGCTTTCGGCTTTCGGGAGGAGGGTTCTCTGGAGGAGGTCGACATTTTCAGGGCCTTAAAGGTGTACTGTCTTCTCTCCTTGTGACCTTTGTTTGCGCTCTATTTTCAACAGGCAAAACCCCCTAAGCAACAGGGAGCTGGGGATGCGGAGGAGGAAGAGGAGGAGTAACGGCATCCGCCGAGAACCTGACAGGGGTTCCGTCTTCTCTGCACAGCAGCATTCGCCACAGTGCAGGCCACACTTCTTGGGCCCTGTGGGCAGGGGAGGTTTTTCGGATTTTAACTTTTTCTAGGTTATGACCATTTTGTGTCTTTTGAGATTGTGATGTGGGAGTTTAGGGGTTGAGGGAGGGTCAGCAGGGAGGCTGTTGAGAAATGTTTCAGTTTTAGCTGCTGCCTTTTGGCCGCACAGAAATACAAGTTATGGCCTCTCAGCCCACCAGGGCTCCTCCTTCTGACACACTGTCACCCCTGCTCCTCGGTGCTTTGTGGTCCTGATGGAGAGGAGAGGATTCTGGGAACCCGGTACCTCCAGGGAAGTGGCTCTCTTCCCTGTGGGGGCCTACATTTGGGAACTTTGGGTAACGGCCCCTGTGCACTGCCCTCCCCACTCTGGAATTTGGGCCTCTCTGCCGTGTGGGGAGGAGCTCTGGGGGTGCTCAGCCAGTAGTGCAGTGTGGTAGGAGCAGGCTTTTGGAGATGAGTCGAGCGGGAGCTGAGTGTGCATGGGGCTTTGACTTCACCTGCTTTGGCGTTTGGCATCACTGCCTTCTGTTTCTGGGGGGAGCACGGCTCCTTTGTCTCTGGGGCCTCTGGTGGCTCAGGAGAGGCACGCCCTGTCCTGCCAGGGCCGTGCTGGGCTCTGCCCTGATCGGGACTAAGGCCTAAGTAACCTCCGTGATTTGCTCTGAAAACCAAGTATCAGAGCCCCCATCTCTCTCTTTTTATTTTATTATTGTAATTACTAACATCCTTGTAATAGAAATAAAGTTTGTACTTGGGAGTTCAGCTGAGTCTTGTGGTTCCTTCTCCAGCGTCCTCTGGAGACCTCAGGGAGGGAGAGGACGGTGAACAGGACTAGGCTTTCTCTGTGCGTCCTGGAACCCCAGCAGACCCAGCGTGAGCTCCTTCTCAGAGAGCACCGGGCAGTCAAGGTGTAGTTTCTTACGTGGGACTCAGGAAACTGATGGGCCGCTGCAGCTCCACGGAGGATCTCGGGTGGGGCTTTCGCCGACAGAGTAGGGGAAGGGTAGATTCATCAAAAGCCTCAATCCTGAGAGCAGTTGAGCCTTAGCAGAACTATCCATCACCCCTCAGCACCTCGCAGTTTGCACAGAACCATCTAGCACTTTAAATTACTTTGAACTCATTTGTTTTTCTCCTAAAACCTAGTGGGGGTGGGAGAAGAATTGACCTGGTGCTTAGGTGGGAAGGAGGGGCTCGTATGAGGCTCTGTGGCTAACTCGTAGCAGAGCCAGGACTCGAATCCAGGCCTGCATTATCCTGAGAGAAAACCTGAACCGAAAAAAAGAACGTGCTGCGGCTTTGTCCACTTTGTCGGTTGGACGGACTGTTACGTACGGCAGGTGGGTCATACTGGTTGGTGGTGCTGTGCAGGCCTTCGTGTCCTTCTCTGTTCCCGTGTTCTGCCGATGACGGGTGGGCGAGGCTGTTTGAAATGTCTCTCATGACTGAAGATTATCTGTTCATAACTCGGATACATAAACATGATAGTTACATTCTTGTTTCATTGGCTCCTTTATTAAATGACCCATATTTGTAATATTTGCTCTGAAACATAGCGATAATAATTTCCACTCCTCAGCTTTCTTCTGATTAGTGTTAGCATAGTACCTTTTCCCATCCTTTTACTTTTATGCTATTTGTATCTAAACACATCAGGTGGGTTTCTCGAAGGCTGCAGGTAGCTGGGTTTTCATTTTCTGGGCCAATCTGACATCTGTCTTAGCTGAGTGTGCAAACCATTTATGTGTAATGTGTAAATGGGTGGCTTTAAAAGTTTGTTTTCTGTGTCTCATGCCGTTTTGTTTCTTCTTCTGAATACTTCTATGATTCCATTTTATCTCCTTTGTTGTCTTAATTAGTTATAACTATTATTTAAGTAGTAGCATTAGGGTTTACAGTGTACACCTTTATCACAGTCTGCCTTCCAGTGATATACGACTTCATGTTTGGTATCACAACACGCATTTTCTTTCCTCCCAGCCTCTGCACTATTGTTGCACATTTATTTATGTATTTGTTACAAATCCCCAATGCACTGTTGTGACTGCTCTGTGGAATCAGCCCCTGTACGAGAACTCGTCCGCTGTGGTCAGAGCCAGCCTGCACAGCCAGTCAGCCCGAGGGCCAGTCCCATCACTGCTGTGCCAGCAGCACCTGAAGAGGAGGGTACACCCAACCCACACAGGGCACTCTGCCAAGACTGGGTGACACAGCAGGTCTCCCTGACCCACAGACACAAACGCCTGGCCAGGCTCCCTGGGAAACTGGAGGGATACGTGTAAAAAAGTGACCAGACTCCTCTTTTCTCGCTGCAGGTGGGGCCAAAGTAGGTTTACAGTTTGTATTATTAATTGTATTAGTTTCCATTCAAGAATAAACTGTGCACTCAACGACTGTAAACCTTGTGCCCCACCCTGTCTATACAAGAATCAACAGAAAATGGATTAAAGACTTAAATATAAGACCCCAAACCATAAAACTCCTAAAAGAAAATGAAAGCAGTAAACTCTGACCCTGCTCTTAGTGGTATTTTTTGACATTTCTCCTTAGACAAGGGAAACAAAAACGAAATAGGACTACATCGAACTAAAAGCCCTGACGGTGAAGGAAACCAACAGGAGCAAAAGACAACCTCCTGGGGGGCAGAAGGGAGCTTGCTGATGCTGTATCTGATAAGGGGTAATATCCAAAGTACGTAAGGAATTCATACGTAAGAGGACATACAAATGGTCAACAGACAAAAGGATGTTCAACATCACTAATCATCAGAGCAATGCAGATTAAAACAATGAGATACCATCTCACATCTGTCAGAAGGGCTACCATCAAATCAGCAAATGGCGAGGACGTGGAGAAGAGGGAATCCTCATGAACTGTTGGTCAGATTGCAGATTGTTAGGGCCACCGTGGAAAACAGTGTAAAGGTTCCTCGAAAAACCGTAACCACCAAATGATCCTGCAGCCCTACGTGGGTATTTATCTGAAGAAATCCAACACACTAGTTTGAAAAGCTATATGCACCCCTATATTCACTGCAGCATTACTTACAATAGCCATGGTATGGAAAAAACCTAAGTGTCAACAGACGAACGGATAAATATGCATAAACATGGACTACTACTCAGCCATAGAAAATGAAATGTTGACATTTGTGATGACACGGATGAACCTAATGAAGAAACAGAAACTCATCCATTCAGATGGCAGGGGAGTAGGGAGGGTTGGTGCAAAAGGTGGAGGGGTCAGGACGTCCGAATCGCCAGTTCCAAAGCCACGGACGTGAGGCGCAGCAGAGACTAGTCTGCGGCAACCGTGGCATCAGGTGGGACCAAGGTCATTGGGGGAAATCACCCCATAAGTTACATAAATGTCTGATTACCGCTGTACACCTGAAACTAATATTGAGTGTCAACTGTAATTGAAGAGTAAAAAATTTTAAAGAGGAGATGATCACACAACTCTTGGGGTAAATCAAAATTAGATGAAGATTATTTATTGGTGAGACTTTTCCTGTAGTGAGCTTCTTTTACACAGCAATGGTGTAAATAGCATCAAATTGAATGGAAAGTTTGTTAAATGCAACCATAAATAATTATAATAAATATACATCAAGTAACTTTACAGCACACGTGTTTTAGGGCCAAGGTTTGGATCTGTCCGGACCTTGCTGTGCTCTCTGGGAGAAGCGGCCGTGCTAGCAGCAGACACCTCACTCACGGCTGTCACCTGATCAAGTGCTGGGCCAACAGAGCTTCCCAAACCCCTCATGGGGAGGTAGCTGACAGGATTCCGAGTTCATTCAGTGGACGGGGAGGATTGCAGGGAACCAAGAATTTAAAAATACAGGAGGAAGAACCACTCCTAATAAACCCAAAGGCTCTTTCATTATGCAGAAATCACATAAAAGGACCCTTGTCAGGACTGCATCCTGCTGTGACCTCCAGGGAGGGGCTGCGGCCCCAGAGGCAGTGGCCCACCACACCCCTTCACAGCAGGGCAACTGTGGGCACTCACCTCCAGACTCTGATCCTGCATCACCTGAGTGACGCCAGCGATGCCACCGACGGTTAATCCAGGTTTATCGTTTCCTTAGGTCGGGGGAGCTTTTCTACAACGGTCCTTAACGCAGTTCCTAAGAGCAACGGGGGAGGAGATGGGAGCGAAAGGCTCGGGCCCGCACATCTCCCGGCAGGCAGGGCCGCAGCATCCTCTCACCAGCACCCACGCGCCAAAGCGGCCTGCCAGCACTCACTCAGGACCTCCGGTATTCACAGTATTATACAATAAATACAGTGACGGGACTCTGAGAACCGGCAAGGCCCAAAGTGACAGTCCAACGGGATGCAGATGCTGCTCGCATGGAGTACCACTGGACGGAGACCTACGGGGGCACAGGTGCACCGGGGCAGCGGGCGAGCTGCAGCAGCCTGGCCCTGGCGCGCACGCGGGGCGGCGCGGGGTTTGCTGGGTGGGCCCAGCTGGGGGAGCAGCAGGACCCCCCTTGTGTCTCCAGCTGGACCCGAAGGTCTTCGTCACTGAAGCAGACCCCGATCGAGCCGAGCACCTCAGACAGCGCTTCCTAAGCCGGGCTTGGGGCCCCTTCCTCAGCCCCTGCCTCCAAACGCTGCTGCCGTGAGGAGGGGCCGTGTCTCCGCACAGAGCGGGTAGGCGGGGACCACGCGCTTCCCCACCCAGCCTGTCCCTCCAACTCCGGGTGTCCCGTGACTCCTGGGGCTGGGACGCACCGGCCTGGCTCTGCGAACCGATGGCAGGAGCGAACCCTTCGGTCACCTGCTCCTGAGCAGCACGCGGGGAAACTCGGACCAGGGCCCCAGGGGAGGACAGAGAGGGTCGTCTGGGTGGGAAGGGATAGGGGGACCGTGGTGGGCTTTTCCTCAGAAAAACCCAGACCATTAACGAGGCTCTAAAGCCGGGAGATTAACGAAGAAGGCTCCCGCATCTGGGCAGCTGGCCTGGCCGCGTCAAGACGGGAGAAGGCCAACAGGAGCCTCGCCCGGGGGAGCTCCAGCTCCGGGCGGCAGGGACAGGCCTGGCCACAGGCTTGTTGGTGGACGCGCTCTGCAGAAGGGGCGGGGCACTGAGTGGCCGGTGGCTTCTCGCCGCCAGCTTCCCGTCGGGTGGTTCTGTGACGTGGAACCGCCTGGGGCTTGAGGGCTTCAGAATCCAGTGCCCAGGAAGGACAGTGTCCAGGAGGGACAGTGTCCAGGAAGATCTGAGTCACAAACTGTCTGGGAGCTAAACTACCCTACGAACATACCATAAACAGGTAGCAAAAGAACCAACCCATCACAAAACGTACAAATACAAAGGGTTAAGTCTTCCAGGAGGTCCTGGAATGTGGACAAAAGTTCAGAAAAGCAAAATGTCGCCAACTCCTCGCGCAGGGCCTGGAGGGACGTGCCCAGCGGCGGCGGGCTCTCCAAGCCGGCAGGGCGGTGCCTGGGTGACAGCCGAGCTCCGCGCTCCCTCCCCTCAGCCACTCAGGGGGTCCTCGCGGTAGTGGATGGCACAGCGGAGTTTCTCCAGCATGATCTCCAGGGAGGAGTACTGGGGCAGCTTGATCATGAACATGCAGGTCTCCACACGGATGTAGCGCGAGTCTGGGGAGCCTGCGGGAAAACACGGGGCCAGCATTGGAGGGCTGGGCCTGCGGCTGGGCTTGGGTCCCAGGGAGGCCTGGCTGGCCTCTCCCCTGGGGTGGGGCAGAAGGTTCTGGAAAACAGGCAGACACAGAAC